AATATTTTGGTGTATTTCAAACTGAATTTTATTTAATTGGAATCCTTTTTTCCGATTATCTGTAAAATCTATAAAATCGGCTATATTGAAAAAATCTGTCAACACAACATAATTCTTTTATGCAAAAATATTTCAAAAATAAAATATACTTTTCTGAAACGTTATTTTAGAAAGATTAGCTTATTTAAATTTTAGCTAATCTGTATTGAACTACTCACTTTTAGTTTAAAATATCGCAGAAAATGCACCTTTTTGAACATTCAGTAGATGTTTTATGAGTTATTAACAGACCTAACAACAGCCAGATGTTTGAAAATTTAAGTAAGATGGACATAACTGTAAAATTACTTAACAATTACAGCGTGAACGTTTTTGTTTTTTTATATAATTTTTAAGTACTCATTAATCATAAAAATTTAAACAATCTAATATTTCATTGAATTTTAGGTACTTTGGTTTTATAGCCCTACTTACGAAATCGCCTTTTGAGGAAATGTTAGAAAATTACCAATAAATTTCATATTGACTATAGTTACTGCTCTTATTTTTTGATAATTTTGTGTATATACGTTCGTATTTATAAAATCTGCACGTTTATACACACATAAAATAAATTCAAAAAATATTTTTTAAATACTGGAGTTCGTTGAATTGTTGAGAGTTTTTCCATTTATGATTAATAAACACAGTTATAATTTAATAACTATATCACTTGACCTCTACAAATTAATAGAGAACTTTAAAAGATTTAAAAGTTTATGAATTATTTTAATTGACATTTTAAAAAATGAAAACAATTCTTGTCAAAATTCATTATTCATGAAAAAACATTTTTCCTTATGACAATAATGTCAAAAATCTATTTTATTCATAAAAGCAGTTAAAATATTTTCTAATTAAATAATGTTTAGCTTTAATGCATTTTTTTTATTTTATGATTCAGGGTAGATTTTTTTCTCGCTTCTAGTCTTGATTAATCAAAAGAAATTCATGATTTAACTTCTTCGAGGACCAATAAGCGAAAAAAAAAAAAGAATTTATCGAAACTTCATAAAATTAAATAAGTAATAGATGTAAAAAAAAATTTACAAGAATTTTCTAAAAAAAAGAAACATTTCACAAATAATTTAATTTATTTCTGAATAAGTCATGAAAGTTTCATTAAAATCCGGCAAATGTCTTATTTTTACAAGAATTTCCAAATTAATTAGTTTTTCACCGCAAAGTAAGACTCAAATTTCGATTCAAATTTATTGTCCACCGTTGACTCAAAAAAAAAAGACAAGATTTTAACTACAAAATATCTTCCTATTGTTCTAAAATGGATTTTAAAATAATTTTTACATAAAAATATCCTTTGATCTTTCATTTTAATAACACACACATTTAACCAGCAATCCTTCTTTTATGCATGTTTCGTTAAATATGAGGGACACAATATATTTTTTAAGTTTTAATCTATTTTTCTTTTGTCGTTATAATTTTTTAAAAATTTTTGCCCTTATAGTTTTTCTTTTTTTATTTTAAAGACTGAGTGTTTGAAGTTTAAAGAGGATAACGGAAACAACAGAGGGAATTGTATGAATAATAGAGACTCCGTTTAGAGACTCCGTTTTAGATGTAAAATCAGGCGGATATATTCCTGATGAGTCGAGAGTGGAGTTGGAAGAGAATTTCTGAGCAAAGCATTCTACTTTAACAGTATTAGATGACAATACTTCAAACACATTGAAGAGTGAACGGATTCTCGTTCAACACACTCTTACATAGCTGCCAGTAATCACGAGAACCAAACTTGTGAAAGGCTATATGGAGTCTCATTCTATGAGTAAACAGCGACTTAGTCGCATTGAGTACACGTTTACACTTACTACGAGCGGATACAAAGGGACATCTTTTATGGTAGTATTCTAAGCATAACACAAGGCCGAAAGTATGAGGCATCCAGTGAGGATCAAACTCACTACTCAGTTGTAAATGACCTAGAAGCTTGTTAACCATTACACCACGTCCAAGTGCCCTAAAGAGGCATCTGTTATGATTTGAACTATCACGTTGGTATCGCCGGAAGAAGTGATTCCTTTGAGCTGAAGAGACAGGAGTGAACCAAGGAAAATATTGCAGTTTTACTTAGTAATTCTTCAGTGGCACGATGCCCGCTTTCACCCAGGAAGAAAACTCGGTGGCACAATTTCCAATGTGAAAATTAAACGTTTCACTCCAAGGGCGTCGGGAAGAAATTTAATTCTTAGTGTAGTTTTTACTTAGTTTCCGAAAACATCCAAGACATTTTAGTCCCATTCAAATATGTGTGCGAGTGTGTATGCCTTCCAGAACTTCATTATGCGTTTAATTACAGTCAGCAACCAAATAGAGAAAATCTAAATAACGATACGACAACATTTGAAAAGGCTTCCTCCTTTGTATCAGAGAATTAATAGCAAATGACTTAAACCTTTTGGCCAGATTAAATGGTTATAAACAGGACTCTCAAAATGATGTTTTGAAGCATATATTTCCGACTAAAGAAAAAATAAAACCGAAATAAGAGAGAAACAACAATGTCGATTTTTCAAAGTCCAGTAGATTGTCAAATATAAATAAAGTCGAATTGGATAGAAAATTTTGCAACGAAACAAGTCACGTCAGCTTGTAATTTATCATTAGCGAAAAGAGTATAAAATGATATATGTGTATGTATGCGTGTGTGTCTCTGTGTGTTTTGTACTGAATTGTATTATATTTTCATTTAGGCTGAGTCATAAATAATTTTCGTTTTTGTTTATCAAATTCATTCATCAAAAAATCAAGTACAGAATTTCATTTTATTCAGTTCTACATTCACCGTTATTTGCAATGACTTCTTGCCACTTATCAGTCAGTTATTTGATACATTTTGAGCAAAATTTCGCAAGTTTTGATGTGAAAACATTTACGATGAACACTTGAATCCCGTTCTTCATTCGAAAGATTTCTCTATCAAAGCGTTTTGCCGCGAATACAGAGGGTAATAATCGGTTGGTGCAAGATCAGTTGAATACAATATGGGTAGGATAGAACAGATTAACCAAGTTCCTTTTTTCAATTGTGTTATTCTTACGCTATGCGGCTTTGCGCTCCCAAAAGAACAACATTTTTCCTACTGACGTGGGGCGTGACAGAGCACTTTTTGACCAAAGTTTTATGGGCATGTTGCAGCTGCTTGAAATATAAATGTACATTTTGTGTTTCATTGCATTTTTAAGAACTCTTAATGAATAATATCCCGACGAAAAAGATCAGCACGATTGTGTAAGTTTTCCATCCTGCTACGCCGCACCATACATAATCAGCCTGGGTCAAGAGTGGCTTTAGCGATATGGTTGAACTGTTTTGTTGCATCCATAGCCTAGTTTTGATTTGTCTCCTTGAAACTATCATCTGTTTAGGCACCTTCAAAAAGTCACGTTCGTTGTGGAGGGTACTACACCGATAAGGTAAATGCATCAATCTCGATAACGACTACAGGAAAAGTAACATAGTTATGCAGGTAACATGTACACAATGTTTTATTTGAATAACCATAAGAATGTTGTACAGGGTAAGAATCCTTTATCCGAAATTCTTGGCACCGAAAGTGCTTCGGTTTTCAGATTCTTTCGGATTTTGGAATGCAGGCTATTTAATGTTCATATAGTATCTATAAAATGGAACCCAGGCATAAAAACGATATCCATTTACATTTCATAACACAGTTTATACATATACCCTGAAGGTAATTTTATATAAATGACATATACCCTGAAGGCAATTTTATATAATGACATATACCCTGAAGGTAATTTTAAATAAATGACATATACCCTGAAGGTAATTTTATATAATCACATATACCCTGAAGGTAATTTTAAATAAATGACATATACCTTGAAGGTAATTTTATATAATCACATATACCCTGAAGGTAATTTTAAGTAAATGACATATACCCTGAAGGTAATTTTATATAATCACATATACCCTGAAGGTAATTTTAAATAAATGACTTATACCCTGAAGGTAATTTTAAATAAATGACATATACCCTGAAGGTAATTTTATATAATCACATATACCCTGAAGGTAATTTTAAATAAATGATATATACCCTGAAGGTAATTTTATATAATCACATATACCCTGAAGGTAATTTTAAATAAATGACATATACCCTGAAGGTAATTTTATATAACCGAAAGTAGTTTTATATAAAATTTAATAAATTTTGTGTGCATACAGATACAAGAAATGACGCTTTTGACTAACGTTTATCCCTTTACGATCACTCTTGTTCTTGTCCTGTCATCCATTCACTCAAAGAGAGCATGGTCGTAGAGTAATGGTTAAAAAGGTTAGTCCGCTTGACCATTACTATAATGTAATGAGTTCGATCTTCAATGGGTGTCCCATACAAGATACTGACCCAAGAAAATTTAGAATACCGTAAAATCAATCAACCCAACCTAAACTACCCTAATCATATTGTCAAAAGTAGTTTATTCGCTGTCTCCCTCTGAATCACTTGCTTTCAGTCTGTCCTGTGCGAATTACATTCGTCAAGTTATCTTTCCTCACTATGTTTCCCAGACAATTTAGCTGTTTCTTACTGATTGTTAGCATCAGCCTCTTTTCCGGAAACTTCCTCATTGCTCACATATTCTGTTCATGGTATTCTTTACATTTGTCGGTAGAACTACATCTCTGTCGCTTCAAGTCTCTTCTGAATCTGTGAGAAGGTTGAGCAGCATTCACTGCCGTATAGGGAGACTGATATTACGTAATAGTTCAGTACTCTTTTCTTTGTTTCTAACAATATGTTTCTGCTTCTTAATACTTTGCTTAGGTTTTGGAAGGCATCTTTCGCTATCACAATGCGCCTTCGGATTTCCGTGTCGCACGTTTGGTCATTTGTTAGGAGCTTCCCAGATATCTAAATTATTGCACTTGTCACTTCCACATCGGAGATTAAATATTACGTCGGTTTACGGCCATATCACTTTGAAACACCGGTTCTAGTACGATCAAGCAACGTTGAGCCAGATCAGTACCGTGATGGGTGACCTCTTGGGAACACTAGTTGCCGTAAGCTTGGGTGTGCGGCTGGTGTAATGGCTCGAAATTGGAAACCGGAGAGCCAAATTCCAAATCCAGTCGGGTTCGTTATTTTCATTTAGGTGCAAATAACCTTGGGAAATATAGGGGTCTATCATATCTCTCACCCTAAGCTATGGATTAATCAGTAAAACTTGTATCAATAAATAATTATTATCCACACACCGCAACTAAATTCTTACGATCAAAAATATTTTCCGGCTTTAAATAACCTGTAAAAGTCTGATAAGCCTTAAAAATCAAATCAATCAGTGACTACTATACTCTACAGATAACTGAATTCCTCTGTCTGCCTGATTTCTTGATATCCCTTGTACATAGCTCTCACCTTGAGCTGCCTCTTTTGCTGACAACCATGCGCTTTTATTTACAGTTTGATTAATATGTTCGTCTTCTTAACTTTGCACAGGACAAATATCCATTGAAAGAGTAAATTGTTTTCTAGCGTTCGTGGTAAGGGCTGACTATTAATTGCAAGATGATGGAATGCTTGGTGGTGAACAAAAGGTGCAGCCCAAGATTTGTGTTACAGTTTGGGGATATCAAAAATTTTAAAATATCAGAAATTCAGCTTCCTGGGCAGTGTAAAAGAAGTCGACGTAAAATCAGATACAAACTTATAAAATTGCATAGGAATAGCTAAAAAATGGGGAATTAGCATCAGAGAGAGAGCTAGAGAGAAAAGTGAGAGGTTATGTAATGTGTGGACTCCTATATGGCACTAAACGTAGCACATTTTCTTATAAATGAAAAAAAGAAAACTTAAGGTAACAGATGTATTGTTCTATCGATGAATCTTAAGAAGATCCAAGGCAGAGCATACGACGAATAAGAAAATTAAAAAAAAAAGGGAGAGAACTTGAAAAACTGTTGATAACAACGAGAATGATAAGGCCGTCACGTGAAATGTTTTGTTTTAACACTGAGAACACACAATAAAGGCCTGAGAAATAGAGGAGAGTAGCGGGTGTCCTTCGTTTGGGCAAATAGGTAGAGAAACAAATTTGCGAAAAACGAAAAAAAAAAAAGGAGAATAAAAATTTAACAGATTCATAAAAGAGAAAATTTTACTGAGATCAAGAATGAACAGGAAAATGTGGAGAACCATGTTCAACTACGTCCTGAAGAAAAACAGCAGGAAAACGGGGAGGGAATGATAACAGCATTTGATTATCTGTTTGCATTGCACACTTAAAGATTTAATATCAAAATGGCTCGCTTTATATTTAAGGAGACTTTTTTTTTATAGAAAAGGCAAGAGGGATTTTTATTGCTTTAATTGGTGACGCACTCTGACCGCAAACAGCAATAGTACAATAACAGAGTTTTAAAGACCTTCAAAACAACAACAACAACAATGAATAATAACAATAAGAATAATTAAATAGCCGCTCCGTATCGTTTCAGAACCTGACAGCTTTGTCACGTAGCTTCTGTACAGAACAGAGCAGCCAGCATTCGGCACTCTTTCGCGCCTAAAACAGAACCCAACCCGGCTACATCCTGTCCTCACTCCTACTCGTTCTTGTTGTTCTGCAACTCTTCATCCTTCACCTACTCCTCCCGCTTTCAAACAATTCGCTATCGCCCGGCTAAAGTCGAAGACGGGAATTCACCTAACAAGCGGTTTGCGCGACACAAACAGAAATATATAACTCAATTCAAAAACCCACACGACCGATTTCTGGCGATATAATGTAATTTCACGGCTTGATGGCATATAATTAATTCTAACGTCAGCCAATTGGCCCTATTAGAGCAATATGATAGCACATCGCAGAAATGGCTGCCCGAGCAGTGGCGTTGGTGATGGTGGAGGAAATGATACAAAAAGAGGTGGGAGCCTCACGGCGGTAGTATCGGCCATTAAAACGGTGTCTGTAATTGTACACAAAGTGTTTTTCAATGATAGACCCGACTGAAGTCGTTATGAGTCTGTTAACGTAACCTGCGAGGAAGAAACATTATCTTTTTATATAATCATACCCCTCTTTAACCCTTTCTCCTTTTGTTTTCTCCTCCTGCTTCTCCTCCTACTCTTATTTTTCCTCCTCCTCTTCTTTTCTATTTCTACTCCTCCCTCTACCTCTTCTTTCCTCCTCCTTTTCCTTTTCCCCCTCCTCCAACTCCTCCTCCACCTCCTCCTCTTCTTTTCTCCTCCTCCTCTTCTCATCTACTTTTCTCCTTCTCTTCTTTTTCCCCCTCCTCTTCTTTTCTTCTTCTCCTCTTCTCATTCACCTCCTCCTTCACCTCTTCTTCTTCCTTCCCTCCTCTCCTATTTTTCATGCGTTTATCCAATATTCTTGTCACCCCTTCATTTTTCTCTTTTATTTATGGTTCTTTTTCACTTCTCTTCTTTTAAATGGTGACGCTCTCATTTCTTCATTCGTTCTTTCATTTTTCTTCTTCACTGTTGTTTCTTTCTAATTTTTCTTCATTTTGCCATTTTATTTCCTTCTCCCTGTCTCTTCTTTCTTTTCTTTATTTCTTTTTCTTCGTCATTGTCTCTTTTTTCATTCTTTTTTTTTTATTATTTTTCTCCTTCTGATTAGCTTTCTTATAAATCTATTTTGTTTCGCTTCTTCATTTTTTTTTTTTTTGTGCCTTCTCATTTTCTAAATCCTCCTTTTTTCTTCCCCGATTGCTAGTTTTTCTTTCTCTACTCATTTTTTAAGAATTTTCATTGTCACTTTTTATTTTTATTTTTACATCCATATTCCTTTACTATTTTCAATTACACTTCTTCCCCCACCCACCCATCATCCATCTTTTTTTTTAATCTAAATCTTTTCTTTACATTTTTTCTCCTACAAACTCTTACATTTTTCTTTCCTGTGTTTTTCGTTATTTCTCTTTCATACGTTTTCTATCTTTTTCTTCCATGTATTTTTCCTTCTTTTTCTTCCATATGTTTTCTCTTTCTTTTCTTTCCTATGTCTTTCGTTCTTATTCTTTCATATCTTTTTCCTTGTTTTTCTTTCATATTTTCCTTCTCTTTCTTTCATGTTTTCCTTCTTTTTCGTTCATATCTTTTTCCTTCCTTTTCTTTCATATCTTCTTTTTCTTTCATGTTTTCTTTGTTTTTCTCTCGCTAGTTTTCGTTATTTCTGTGTATCTTCCTCTTTCATATTTTACTTTCTTTCTTTTTCTTCTGTTTCTTTTTAGAAGATTTCCCCTTTTCTTAAATATGTCATGGAACATCTCTCAAACAAAAAAATGTGCACAACAGCAGAAACAGAAAAGAGAATACAATATGCGATTAACAAAATGGCGTTCTTCTCCTTCATCGCGTGTGTAGCAAATAATCATTTACCAAACTGTTCGTTAAAGCCGAAAAAACGCTTTATGCCACATAATCAGATTTTCTTGTGAAAATATATTTTATAACTCTTGCAATCAAGGTTTCGAAATTTAACACAAGAAAGAAAACTCATCATTTGATGGGTATTTAGTTTCTGTAGTGTTCGCGTTCCAACAAAAATCTTTTCCATAAATATTTCACAAATAAGTGTTGCCTTTGCAGTTCATTGCAGCTATAATTTGTTCAAGTTGTTAAATTTCATTGTTAAAGCTGGGGGTGATTGCAAAGAAGCCCGTATCTTTCGTTTGGGATCTTTCTTATACGCATTTCGTTTAGTTAAATGGGGGCTGGACGGAAAAGAGCGAGGATATTTATGTTGAAAATGTTTAATGTTTTAAGATTGCACTGATGCAAATAGTAAATCTTAAAACCAAGTTTTTACATTACCATCCAAATAGTATCAACCATAGAGAAATGGTTCGCGTGTTACTCTTGCAGGCCATTATTATTATTATTATTATTATTATTATTTCCTTTTATTTTTTGTGGGATACACATTTCCTTCCATTTACAAATGGCATCATGACACTTTCCACTGACAAAAAATTACATAGATAAAGCACTTCGTAAAGTGTGGGCTGTACTTGTCAGAACAATTTTTGTATCTCATGAGGCATGGACTTCAGGAATCCCTTCAATTAGTCTACTGCAAATCTTTTTCAACCAGTCCTAGGGCTCCAACTTCAACAGGGATTGTTGATGTTCCCATATGCCACATTTTCGATTTTCTATTTCAAGGTCCTTGTATTTTTTGACAACGTTTTGAATATCTTCAAAGATACATTGCAGTCAGCAGGGACTGCCATATCAATAAGAAGGCACTTTTTTTTTTTGTGGTCTTTAATAACAATATCAAAGGCGGTTGGCTTTGATTGTTCTGTCAATGTGTATTGTGTAGTCCCATAGAATTGTAATAGGTCCTTATCTCCGTAACCGTGTCTGGGTGGTGTTCATACCATTTTCTTTCCTTCCCGTAGAAGTTGCAGATTTTCCAGTGCAGATATTGGCCCACTCTGTCATGTCGGGTTTTATATTCAGTGTGTGCCAATGTCGTGCAACCTGACACAAGATGATCAATCGTTTCTGTATATTTATCACAGAATCTGAATCTTGGGCTGACACAATATTTTAGTATATGTGCTTGATAATTCCTAGATAGCAAGCATTGGTCCTGCGCAGCAAGGATAAAACCTTCAGATTCCGCTTTCAACCCTGCACTACGTAGCCACTGATGGGTACGGGTTTTGTCTACGTCAGCTTGTTTGGTACGGGCAGAGTATTAGCCATGAAACAGTTTATATTGCCATCGCTTCTGTATCTGGTCGGTTGCATTCGTCTTTGCTGTCTTTTTTAAGTATTTTGCAGTTTCAGCCGGTGTATTGTGCTGTAGTTGCATCTCTACGCCCATTTGGAATTCCATTTTGAATTTGTTGGCTTCTTTTATTACGGAGTAAAGACGCTTACTACTTTCATATTCATTGACGCATACCATCATCCAGTCTTCTGTAGTTTCCAAGTATCTTTGGAAGCCAATTGTTGCAGTTTTGTAGGACAGTTTTAGTTGAACTAATCCTCTGCCTCCTTCGGATCTGGGTACATACAGACGATCGACAT